CTGAGGGTGTTGATAAGACCAATGCGAGGTCGAAGCTGCAGTCCACTGGTGCCTGGATGAGAACAAATTTTGGGAAAGCAAAGCTTTGTAACATTGAATGGAAACGTCAGCTCAACTCATATCATTTGTGAGAAAATTCTACTTCCACCAGTCCTTCATCAGCTCAAAACGAAATTGGGTGAATACATCTTATGAAAGAGATTGCTTCGGTGATAGCGACAACAAGACTTCTTCACTAAAGCCAGCCGAGGTTGTCAAAGAGTGGTTTGCCGTCGTCTTTTTGTAGAATCAGCCCTCGAAGTTCTTCATCTCACACAATTTCACGCGAAATTGAAGACAAATCAATTGGAAACAAGAATATGCGTCGACAACCAATTTTGCTTCACGTTGCTAAGGGAAATTTTCTAATACAATGGGTACTTGTAGGTTTTTCATTTTTTTAAAGTTCCTCCTCTCTACTCTTCCGTTCTATCTCTCCAATCCTCCCTCGGTCCAGATCATGCGCAATCGCAGCTCCAGCAGCGACGGTTCTATTTTCAGCCTCGACAGCCCATCCACCTGGCGCGCAGACTCATTCCCCAACAACGCCACCATTCCGGCGCCCAGACACGTGACCTCAGAGACCAACGGCTGTGTCATAGCCAACGGCGACCAGCTCTCGGTGGAAGCGGTGCCGTTGGTACAGAACGGATCGGCTGTGCGCCACGATGCTCCGAATCCCTGTCCAAAGGGTGGCCCGACGGCGATGGCAACCGTTGACGCCGGTTACGACAATCCTAGCAACGGCCACGAGTTCGTCTCTGCGGGAGGCGTCCGCGTCACTTCGGCGAGCGACCAACTGACCGGGTCTGATGGTGATTCGCCCTGTCAACCTGTGTCGTGTCCGTCTGGTCTGAGGCCAGATCAACCCTCAGACCAGCCGAACGGCGCCGACGGTGCCACCGTCGGGCTCAGAAGTGGCCTCTCGCGGTTTAGCGAAGCCGCCAACGTCACCGGCCCACCTGCAGGTGCTCTGATGCCATGTCAAAATTTGGCTCTGTTGGCCAAGGACTACGTGGAGTCCCTTCACCAAAACACCAAGTCGACGCTGATCTTCGGCAAGAACAACGTTCTCGTGCAAACGGTGAGCCGGCGTCTTGTCGAGGATGGCATATCGCCAAGTCAGCCCAGTCCGATTGAGGGAGATTGAGCAATGTTGCTTTCGACGTGGTACTGGCCGACCTTTCGTTTGGTTTGAGAATACGGCTGGAAGGGATTCCTAACTTATCCTAACCGGCTTTTATATGTTGGCTTGTGCGAAAAAGACCTCGGAGCAGCATCCTACTCGGTCTGGTGTCTTGCAATGAACACATATTGAGCCACTTTCTTTTTCTCAATCCAGCTTGCATGTGGATCGCAAGGTGAGGTATATGAAGTTAGCAGGATCTCAGTCAGATTGTTCTTGGAAAATGGATTCTGGCTCTGACGATGCCAGCTACATTACGGACGAAGGCTCGACACCTTTCTAGGACGATGAGCCGAGGTCTTCTTTGCACATTTCAAAAGACATAAGTCCAAGGCAACCCTCCTTCGGTATCCGGTGAGGCCAATATACCAATCTTTTTCACCCTCCTTCTCAAACGAAATGAAAGGTATGTCAGTATCAATCTACCAAGGGATTCTTCAAAATCCAGCTTCTCTTCATGTTGCTGTTGGCATTTTTTTATACTCCACCCATCTCTTGCTCTTATTCAAGATCTACCGGTAATTTCTGGACCTACTCGAACCGAATATAAAACAACTAGCAAATAGAAGTTTGCTTTTTCGGCAATCCCAAAAAGAAAGGCCTTGCCTTCCTTAAAATCCATGTGTGACCCGAGAGAAGGGGCTACCTGTCGGGTGGCGGGTGACCTGTCGAGGCTATTCATATAAGGGTCATAAAGAGCAGATTTCAACTAGAATTTTATGAAAATAGGATAAAAAATCAGAAGGGGATGCCTGCACTCCTGTGAACTGAGCCAGAAATTGCGACCGTTGCTGGCAACATTCTTCACAAGCCTGTCGATGCAACATGAGAAGGTTGACGAACAGGATTGCTCGGGAGTCTATAGCATCAAATGCGGCAACTGTGAGCAGAAGTGTGCTGGTGAAACAGGAAGAAAAATCAGCCTACGAAGCAAGGAACAGCAAAGACTCTGCAGAAACATGGACGCTGAAAGATCCGAAATAGCGGAACACATCGCACGAATGGGACACGAAATCGAGTGCAGATCGACAGAAAGGCTGACTGCATATTTTGGGAAAACACAAGAAATGGCAAGATACGAGAAGCCATTGATAACCTGACTGAAAGAAACCTAAAGAACAGGAGACTTGAAGAAGGCAGGATTAGCGAAAACTTTGCATACTGCCTAAGCAAACTCGGAGAAGATCAGGGAACAGGAATAGCAGCAAAAAGGAGACGACTGGATCAAGATAACATCTTTAATTTGAGGTAAATAAATTACAAGGACACCAGAGAGGAAGAATCGGAAACCAAGTGAAGACGTCTACAGGGAGCCTATTCAAATCAAGTAGAACTATCACATTTGGAGGTCGGCACGCAATAGAAAGTTATAGACTGGCATTAGGGATAGAAGAGCCAGACAAAG